ATAAAAACACTTTAAGTTATAGATACTGTCGTGTTTTAAAATATAGTGAAAAGACTGAAACAGAGCTTTTTGGCTTTTTAACGGGTACAAGTAAATTAAAACTGGAACTTCATTTAAAAGAGTTAAAACTGCTTGTTTTAGGTGGGAATATATTCGCCTGAAGCAGAACTGGCTTTCTGAGCTTGAGCTCTAATATGTTACGTATTTCACTGTTTCTACTTTCCTCGTGACATTTATTTAATACATTTTTCTGTTATTTGCTCCTAAGACCTCAAAACATATTGAAGACATTTATCACAGAATTGAAAACATTTTGCAGGTCTTAATCTTGAAATTTAAACACAAAAATCAATTATCCTGTGAGAAGAGATTTAAAACTAAAATATATCGGTTTACCTTAATAGAGTGATTTTCCTAACCATTATTTATATAAAAATATGTTCTGTGGAATATACTCTATTTCTATTATTTCTATTACATGTAAAATTCCCAGTGAAACACTTAATGTATAAATGACTGTAACTTCTAGCTGCCATCTCGTATTTAATTTTTAATATATATATTTATACCAAAGTTTTCTAAATTAGAAAATTTGTAAATGATGCTTAGATTTATCCTCAGCATACATATAAGATCAACTAGTATTATAATTTTGGTTTTTGTATCTTGACTTTTTGTCTTCTACATGATTTAAGAAACTGATGTGTTAAAAATTATTATTATATGTTTTGGACACACAAAGCATAAAGGTAGAATTTTATGACATCAGTTACTGAAAGGGGGTAACTGACAGAGCTGTGAAGGAACAGAGTTGTATGTGGTTGGAATCAAGCTGGCGTAAATTCAAATAGGAGTGTAATCCCTGATGTAACCACAGAGAAAATGGCTAAAGAATACACTTAAAAAGAAAATCTGAAGGGAATTTAAAAATTTCACTATAAAAAATCAAATAAATTCTAAGAGGAAGGTAATGCAGGACATGAGGGACGATAGAGATATAAGGTATAATGAAAACAAATAGCAAAATGGCAGAAATACATATTTTCTAAAGCTAACTTGAAAAAGGACAAACTAAGAGAACTCAAACTTCTTGTTTTTAAAATTGACTACAAACCTACTGTAATCAAAACAGTGTGGAAATGGCATAAAGGCATACCTATAGACCAATGGGATAGAGAGTGCAGAAATAAACTTTAGCATACATGGTCAAATGATTTTTGACAAGGGTGCCAAGACTATTCGTGGGGGGAAATGGCAATCTTTTCAACAAACAGCTTTGGGAAAATTGGATATCCACATGCCAAAGGATAAAAACCAACAAAATAACTAACAATCTAATTTTAAAATATGCAAAGAATTTGAATAGACAGGTCTCCAAAGAAGATACACAAATGGCCCTATGAGCACCTGAAAAGATGCTCAACATCACTAATTGTTAAGGAAATACAAATCAAAACAACAACGAGATGCCACTTCACTTCATTAAAATGGCTACTATTAAAAACAAACAAAAAAACCCCCAGAAAATAATGAGTATCGGTGAGGACGTGGGGTAACTGAACTCTGTGCCTAGCTGGTGGGGATGTCAAGTGGTACAACTGCTGAAGAAAACAGTATGAAGCTTCCTCAAAAACTTAAACATAGACTTACCATATGACCCAGAAATTCCACTTCTGGATATACACTCAAAAGAATTGAAAGCAAGAACATAAACCTATATTTGCATACTCATTTCATAGCAGCATTATTCATAATAGTCAAGAAGTGGAAGCAACCCAGGTGTTGCTTGCATGGATGAATGGATTGATGGATGAATGGGCAAGCAAAATGTGGTGTAGACAAACGGTGGAATGTTCAGCCTTAAAAAAGAACGAAAGCCTGCCACATGCCCCAGCGTGGATAAATCTTGAAAATACTATGCTAAGTGAAATAAACCAGACAAAAAAGACAAATAGTGTATGATTTCACTTACGTGATACCCAGACTGGTCAAATTCATATAGACGGAATGTAGAGTAATGGTGTCTCGTTGCTGAGAAGAGAAGGGATGGGGGTTATAGTATAACGGGTCTCAGTTTGGGATGATAAGAAGGTTCTGGATGTGCATAGTCATGATGATTGCACAACAAAGTGAATGTACTTAATGCCAGTGAATCGTACACTGAAAATTTTACATGATAAATCTATGATTTATGTTAAGCATATTTTACCACAATAAAAAGTTATTAGTTTAAACATTTATCAAAAATGGTAAATGGTTATTAAAATTTTCAAACAAAACAGAGGTGCATGAAGTAAAAAGAAAAAGCTTTTTTCCCCTCACTTGTACTCCTCCGAAAATTCTTTATCTTTGAAATAACATTTAAGGGCTATTTTATGATATTAGCCCAGATTTCTTACGTAAAGAATACAGGCAATGTGTAGGAAGTGCTAGTAAAAATTAACAAAAATATGGGGCTTATAAAGATAAAAGTATCCATGACAAAAGAGCAATTAGTTATATGGGATCATAAGTGTTTATCCAAATATAGGGCTCAGGCAGAGCCTGAGTTCTTTCTAGATGGTTAAATAATATGTGGAGCACAGATGGGCCTTTTTGGCTCCTCACACATGTAAAATGTGATGTGTGTTTACAAGATAATCCCTTATGGCATGGCAAAGCATTTCTCTCTTTTATATAGAACTTATTTTTACACTCAATAGCTCTTTAATCTTGAAATCCTAACCTCAGAAATCTGTCCTGTGAAAATGCTTAGTTGAATAGGTTTTTGCCATAGGCTTGTTTATTCACATTTGTAGTTCACCAGGATAAAGCAATGAATTCAAAAGCCAGTATGCTCTTAATTGTTCATAATTCTCACCCTAGAATCAGTCAAACTTCCTCCTTATTCTCTAATTTTTCTTTTTTTTATATTCTTACCCCTCTCTGTTATCCTAACTTAAAATTCCTTCCTTTTCCCTTAATGATGAAGAACCTGAGGCAGAACTTTCCTCTATGGAGCCTTTCCCATCTACTTCAGGGCATGTGCACACTCTTTATCATAGTATTCGGGCTTATGGCCATCGAAATATCCTGTTTCTTGTAACTTTCTTTATTGCTTAGACACTTCGTGTGGGTAAAACTTTTTGCCTCTATGTATTGTCTACAAACATATAACAGGACATTTTCACCCCACTAGATGTATAATAAATCAACAAGTCCATATTGATAGCCTATGGTACTAATAGACATTCTTTAATAATGTTACCTGCTACCTTCATATCTGCCTATTATAATACGAAACTTATTTTATATAATGTATCCAAATCGTTCTTTTTTGCATATGTTCTGTAGTCTCTTAGACATGATATATCAGTTTTCTTAAACTCTACCAATAAAAATGTATTCACCAGCTGATTTTCCGGCCCTCTATTTGGTTTGACATTAATCCACGCCAAGACTCAATTTCCTATGATGTAATATTTTTAGAAAATGTAAAACATTATTTTCCTTCCCATTTTTATACAGTCAGGTGTTTGGAGAAAAATACAATATTATGTTGCATTTAAATTTCATAAGAGAATTCCTGTTATTTTGAATGATCTGGACTGGCTCATAGCTTGATTTAAAGAGTTGGTTTGTTTTTGCACAAAGTGTGTGTTATTTTATAGCTTATTCCCTTATATGTTTGACATGACGAAGCACATCACAAAATTGATTTTAAAACTATGAAAACTGGAATTGATGCAGTTTATGTTCCCACTCTGACTGGGAGGGTAGTACTAACTCAGTATATGATATCAGCACGAATCCTTACCTAGATGTGTAAATAACTTGATGACCCTGACTTCATCTGCAACCTATGGAGTTGTGTGGTAGAGGCTGGTGCTTGCCTCCCAAAGTTGTAGCATCAACAGTATCACCTAGGAAGTCATTAGAGATGTAGGTTCTCAGGTTCCACATGAGACCTACCGAAGCAGACATAAGAGGTTGGGCTTCCAGATCTGCGTTCTAATTAGTACTCCAGATGAACCACTGGCCTACCCAACAGCTACTGCTAACATAATTCCTGCTTCATTTAGCAGCAACATGCTCAAGGCTTTCCTCCCATCATCAGGATCAAGTTATGATTAGTCTGAACCAGTCTCGTGAATGCTATTTATTTTCACCAGGATTGGTACAGGGGATGGCATGCCAACTACTTCTGGCCACTCATGCATTATAAGAGAAGCCAACTGTTTCCTTGTGGGAGACATTCTGCTTCCTGATAAAAGATAGAGCCAGCCTGAGAAGAAAAAGCTATTTTACTACCAACACCTCACCTAACCCCTGATTTCTGTGTGAATATAGTTAGTTGTGTGATGTCTGTGATAGCAGCTGCCAAATTGTAGCTAAACAGGGAAGGCTAAGAGAAATGCAGAAATGTCACCTCGGTGGTCTGATAACTGCAGAGCCCCTGAGCAGACCTGGAAGTCACCTGTCCCAGAGCTCTTGGTAGGTAAGTTGTAACAAATATCCTTATGGGTAGTCGGAGGTACCTTTATTTTCAGTCAACACATCTTAAGTGATAAGAACTGTGTATGTTGACATTTTGGCACACATCATACCAACTGCATGGTTTATAAAGGAATTGCCAGCTAAACTTAGTTTCAGGAGTCCTATGGCTCATAAATAATTATGAGGAAAGTACCAGATTTAGAGAATATCCAATGCCCACATTTCTGTGCCTCAGATTAAGTGAATTTTAGGAGCTGTGGCAGAGCAATGGATTTGTAATGGCATCAGGAGAATGGAGGAGAGAGGCAGGCCCATTTGATGAGTGGTTATAATGCATGATTCTCTTCTGGGGTGGAGACCATGGCCAAATCCAGTGAGCAAGGGAACAAGGGAATTGAGAGGAGGTTGGGGAGGAAATTAGTAGATGTTCATGAAGAATTAGGATCTTAAATACATCACATAGTGATGGCAGATTTTTAAGCAGGGAAGTAACATATGTGCTATGAGAAAAGAGAATTTGCTTCTTGAGGGATTGAAAAAGGCAACTTCTACTGTTTTATTTCATACTAATTGGTATTTTATGTAATTAAGTGACTCTTTTGGAGGGGTCTCCAAGACCATCCATATGTTCAGTGATTTGCTAGAAAAAACTCAGAATTCAGCATGGAGTTATAATTACATCAACACAGCACACAGACACAGCTGAATCTGTAAGGGAAAAGAATACAGGAGTTGTCTGGTTACGTACACATTCACTTTCCCATGCTCCCTCTTTCCTATAAGTGTTCACACAGAGCACATTCTCCTTCTAGCCTCTAGTAGCAAAACTCTAGCAATGTGTGTGTGTGTGTGTGTGCGCACGCGTGCATGTGTGTGTATATATACATATATATGATGTTTCTGCCCAGGGAAGCCCAGCTGAAGCAGGTCACATATGTTACATTCTTTGCTAGCAACTAGCAAAATTCCAGACTTCCAGTAAATGTTAACAATAAATCATGTTGTATGTACAGGCATAAGAAAACAACCTTATCAGTTAGGGAAAGTTCCAGAGGCCTAGCCAAGAGTTAGCCAAGAGCCAACCCTGAAAGCAACCTCTTCTAGAGATAGCAGTTCTGGGCTTGCTGTGTTAACTGTTTTCTGCACAGCAGATTACCATGTAAATAATAAAACTATCCAGGGTGATTCTTACATGTTACATATTTAGTTGGTCAAAATATTTCAAGTTTATTTTGTAATGATTTCAGGTAGATGCTGTATGTGACTTTTAACTGAACTATGACTTGTATAATCAATAAGACAAAACATTGACAAAACTTTAGTATCTCTATCAGAAACTAGAGAAGCACTAAAAAGCTAGAATAATAGAATAATATATTTATATAATATATTTAATAATATATTAACTTTAGGGAGTAATATTCATTTTGCTATTTTTTAAACATTATTTTAGCTGACATCAGTGTGAAGATGGTCATGACATTCGCCCAAGGCATTGTGTTTAAGAAGCCGATGAAAAATAAAACACTAACAGGAAAGGGGCATGAAATTGTCAGAACTTGAGCGAAAGTATTTGAGAGAAATGGAGGTAGTGATATGATGAAAGCCAGTAATGTACATTTGAACTTTGGATTTCTTTTTAAAGCCAAGCTGGTTATCTTAATACTATAAAGTGGTGGTGTAAGGAATCCTCATGTTTAAGTTGGAAAGGGAACTACTGTCTCCTTTATGCTTTTTTTGGGGGGGTTGCTCAGTTTGCAAAAATAATAAATGCACCTAACAAGCAGAGCATAGATTTTACTAGGTACTTACAAAATCGAATTAGTATAATCACTTTCCAGATGGTACATCCTTCTATCATGTCTAGCCAAGGCCTGAAGTTTTTGGACCATGGATACTTAAAAGAAAAATTATTTTTCTCCCTATTCAGTGGAAGAAAAAACTACTACTTCTAGGTATCAAGTATGAGAATTATGGTATAAATGATAAACTCAGATTCCCGGGTTGAGTTTGAAATTGGGCACTGTAGTAGCATGAATTAAAACCATATCATTTCTTAAAGATTTTTTATTTTATTTATTTGAGAGAGAGAGAATGAGAGAGAGAGAGCATGATAGAGGGAAGGGTCAGTGGGAGGAGCAGACTCCCCGCCAAGCAGGGAGCCTGATATGGGCCTTGATCCCGGGACTCCAGGAACATGACCTAAACCAAAGGCAAACACTTTTTTTTTTCTTAAAGATTTTATTTATTTATTCATGAGAGACAGAGAGAGAGAGAGAGAGAGAAGCAGAGGGAGAAGCAGGCTCCCAAGGAGCAGGGAGCCCAATGCGGGACTCGATCCCAGGACCCTGGGATCATGACCCGAGCCAAAGGCAAATGCTTAACCATCTGAGCCACTCAGGTGCCCCGAAGGCAGTCACTTAACTGACTGAGCCACCCAGGTGCCCCTAAACCCATAACATTTCTTAATGTATCTTTATTCACTAAATCTCAGAAAGAGTCTAGAATAGCTCCTAGTTCTCCAATTGAAATATTCAGCCTAAGCTCTAATTGCGATCCTTGACTATATAACACAAGTTAAGAAGACACCATCATTCACTGGGTAGTTACTCATGAAGCCACAAATAGTCAAGCACAGTTTTGCTGTCACTTCATGTTTATCTGCAGCTTATTCAATATCATGATCAGGAAAAAAAAATACAATTATCTCAGTTTATCTTCTGAAATATGGTTCACAACTACAGATTTTCATAAAAGATAAAAGTAGCTCTCATGAAGGGGCTCTCTCCATTGTCATTACAGGATGCCGCGCAAAGGCCCGAGAGAGCAGCTCCACAGGAACTAAGAGTGAATGAGTGTATACAATGCACCAAGGGCTTTTGTAGTTGTTTTTGTATAATGGCCTACCTCATCCTTACCAGGACTCTAGGAAACAATATACACCCTTATTTTATTTTTGTGAGAAGTTAGAACTAGTCTGGTTGAAATAAAAAGCCCAAGTTCATATGGTTTTAAGTGGAAGAGCTGGGACCGACTCATAATCTTGGTCCATAGTCCAAGCTTTTGTTAACTACAGTGACTGAGTGCAGAGACCTGCCATTTATATGAATGAAACAGAATTTGTATTCAATAAAACATGAATATGAAGATTAAAAATTAATCTTTGGAATAAGACAGGAAAAAGGACATTTTTAAATCTCACTCTTAGAAAATTTGTCATGTTGGAAGCCTTGTAGTATTCTAAGCTATCTTTCTAATCACTGTCACATTTTCTCTCCTTTGCTACACCATTATCCACTTCATACATGAGACAACTCATAGTCCAGCACTGTTTTACTATCGTTTCATACTTACCTAGAGCACATTCAACAATGTTATGGAATAAATGAATCATGTTCTTGTTTTACTTCATTCAGAACTATGTTATGAACTATGGATTCCCTTCCCTGCTGCCACATTTTATTTATTTATTTTTTTATGTAAACTCCATGCCCAGCATGGAGCCCAACATGGGGCTTAAATGCAAGACCCTGAGATCAAGACCTGAACTGAGATCAAGAGTCAGATGCTTAACCCACTGAACCACCTAGGCACCCCTGTCAAGTTTTATTTTCAACTGAATGAATATCCTTGGCACAGAAACACACAGTCGTCTCTCTGATATTAAAATGCTCTTAATAACTGTGGCCACCAGCAGAAAGAGGTGGGAACGAGAACATGAGGAACTGAATTCAGCTTCCTAGGACTACAGACTTCAGCATGCCTGTTAATCACCTCCATCCTACTTAAAAATAAGCAATGGTTTTGAGCCTCGTGGTAGATCTAGAAATTGGCATTTTTTTGATTAGCAATGATCAAGTCTGATGTAGATGAGAAATGTTGCCCTAGGGCAAGGAGGTACCAGAAGTTAGAGAAGCTTTTTTTTCTTTTTCTGGCTCCAAAGATCTTTTACTGAGACCTATTTAAAGCATTTTAGTCCTTAATTCAAAGAAACTTCAGTTCAGCTGAATGGCTGATGGCTGATCTAGGTAAAGGCTTCACAGTGACAAAAATATGCCCCACCTACAAAGACCTCAAAATAAGTTCCTAATGGGAGTGTGAATGTACTCAGGGTCTCTGTCCCATCTTCTTCAGGGTTTGGTTGAGCTCTTCAAATTTGTGAATCTGCTGGATAAAGAAATCCCCATAGCACTTGGTGACCTTGGTGTCTGTGATGTGGATCATGTCCTTATCAATGTAGAAGTCAACCTCAGAGGCCAGCTGAAATTCGCCATCGAGGGCAGAGATGCCACTGGTCCACACCAGCTTCTTCATCTTGTGCTTGAAGACAAGGAGCTGGATCCGGAACGCCTGCTCTGTGAGGTCCATGAAGCCGGCCAGCTTGGCCACAGGCATGGTGGTGTAGAGCTTGAGGAAGCTGCGGATGGTGGAGAGCTGGGCCTGCGGTTGCACTTCATCGGAAAACACCTTCAGCTGCTGCAGGACTCGTACCACAGGAAAACATCTTGTGGTAGTTGGGGTGCACGTTGTCGTAGTTGGGGACCATAGGCGACAGGAATTTGGGGCACGAGTAGCTGAAAAGTTCCTCATAGACCTGTGGGTCACCCTTCTGCATGCAGAGCCTCTTGTCCCTGTATTTCTCCTGCAGCTGCAGGTGAATGCTTTCATTGATTCGCATGGGGTACATGGTGAGGGCGATGGCCAGCAGCGCGTACATCTGCTCATCCTGCTTGTTAATCATCTCATACTTGTAGGTGGTCCTCTGGAACATGCTCTTGGTCCTCTGGATGTAGAGGAGGATGCTGGCAAAGACTCAATGGCATCCTGGTAGCGATGCATCATCAAATATGCAAAACCGACATAGTAGTATGTGGTGACCTGGCACTCAGGCACCCGAGAATACATGCTTTTCTTATTCAGTTCGATATTCTCCAGCACCTTGATGGCCTGGTAGTAATCCACCAATAGGGAGTGCAGACGCAGAAGCCCCACCAGGCTGAAATCCCAAGCATCTTGTAAAGGGAGTGCCATCCATACTCGCCAACCACACTCTTGGGATCACCTCCACTTGTATACACCTCCAGCTGCCGGTTAATGTTGGACTTGTCTGCCAGGGAGTGAAGGACATTGAGGACACTGTGAACATTCCAGATTTGGGGACTGGAGCAAAGGAAGTCGATCTCCTCCTCTGACTTCTTGGCAGTCTTGCAGCGGTACTGACTGAATGACTGAAACTGATAGATGAACTCGTCAATGATATCCCAGAGCCACTGGTTGGGTAGTTCAAGGGGAGCAAGACCATCAGCATTAAGAATGTAGTTGAAGAGATTGCAGTAGTTGTAGTAGGATTCAAACCTCTGCTCCAAGGAAGGCCCTCCACTGACTTCGGCATATATGTGCCTGTAGTATAATTCTTTGTACAAAATTAGGAAGACGGCATCATTGCCAGCCTGTGGAGCAATGGCTTCCGCCTCAGGCCAAGGTGTATTCTTGAAGAATCTTTCAGTCAACTTGGTCCAGCTGTTCTCATAGATGTCCTGGATCTCATATACCTTCTGATCAATGACATCGCTGGACACACGACTGGCCTGCAGCTCATACACCTTCTGGTCAATCAAATCTAAGATGGTTTTGTGGAAATATTGCATGAAGTTTTTGATCACTTTGGGGATCACCTGATAGGTCTGCTGTTCATACTGACGTTCATAAGCCAGATCCTGCTCTGGATCTCCTGTGTGCATATCATAGTCGCCTGGGTATGCATAGGGATCATAAGCAGCCTCGGACTCGTAATCATCAGCCAGATAAGACACGGCTGCATGGCTCATGAACACCTCCGGAGAGCTGTTTTTGTTTTGTTTTAAGTCGTCTCTACACCCAACATGGGGCTTGAACTCACAACCCCAAGATCAAGAGTTGCATGCTCTATCAACTGAGCCAGCTGGGCACCTCTTGTTTTGTTTTGTTTACATAGATCAAAAAAAACCCTGAGAATCCCACTGAATCACTGATGTATGAAGAGAGATAACACTTTGAGAAAGGATTATGGGAGTCCTGATATGCATAAAATCACTTCTTTAAGAACTAAGTTTCATTTGATTTGCTAGAGTTGTATCCCTCCAGACCAATATGGAGACCATCTGGATATGGGATGAGATGAGCCATTAGGTGAGGGCAATGTTTCAGGGACTTCCGAAAATCTTTGTGGAAGAAAGCAAAGTTGCTAATAACTGAAGGGAAGACATTTATTAGGCAGCTTTAGTGTACTACCAGTGAAATGCACTGTGGGAGAATATAGGGTCAGTTTGGTAGCTGAAATCACTTTATTCTACATGATTCCATAGAAATTTAGTCTAAACTCTATCCTCAAGTGGATGAATAGTATTGAGTTTGGCTAACAGGGCTTTTCTTCTATTACTTATTTTATAGGTACTCAAAATACATATTCATGTTTTCAGGTAACAATGTGGTATCTAATCTCAAAAGAACTTTCTCTTTAAAGGAAAAATATTCTCTATAGAAATGTGAGATGGAATCCCCATCAGCCTTTAAAGGTAGAAGTTTTATGGGCTCTTTAAAAATATGTATCATTTTGGGTCCTAGTTAATAAGAACCCTTTGGATAAAGACTAGCTTTTCTCATGGCTGATCTTTGAAATAAAAATGTGATAATGCTGCTTTCACAAGTTCAGCTGCATTTTTATCTCATCTGAAATCTTTCAGGCTTCCCTATACTTTGAAGCACTGATTGACAGGGCACTCATTGCGTGTTAAGAATGTTACCAACTTTGTTAAGTTGCTGACAGAGAATACATGTGTCAAAGTCTGATGCCAGACTATAAAAATATCATCTTCAGTAAAAATTTTCTTCAAGACCTTCCATCCTCATGTTTGTATCTTGCTGTTATCCAGGTTAAAAAAAAAAAAAAGACCCACAAAACAAATATCACAATACCCAATAAAAGTATGACCAGTCTTGGGGCACCTGGGTGGCTCAGTCGTTAAGCATGTGCCTTCGGCTCAGGTCATGATCCCAGGGTCCTGGGATTGAGCCCCACATTGAGCCCGCATAGGGCTCCCTGATCGGTGGGAAGCCTGCTTCTCCCTCTCCCACTCCCTCTGCTTGTGCTCTCTCTCTCTCTCTCACTGTGTCTCTCTCTGTCAAATAAATAAATAAAAAATCTTAAAAAAAATAAAAAAAGTATGACCAGTCTCTCTTCTAGGTGTACTTACATGACGTCTTGTCTTAGAATGGTTGGTGTGTTAATCTTTAAAGATGAATACTTGCATTTGATTTTTTTCTTATTGATAACTTTTGGTAGCTCCAAATTCACACAAATTTTCTATGGAGAAAAGAACCTGGCTACAAAGGACTACTCGGGCAAATACATAGGTGTGCATCTAATAAAACATGTATAGGATTTGAATCTTGAAAACTATAAAATCATGATGAAAGAAATCAAATATCTAAATAATGAAAATACTATGTTCACAGATTGGAATACTCAACATGGCAAAGATTTTAATTCTCTCCAAATTGATATACAGGTTTAATACAATTCCTATCAATATTACAAAAGTTGATAAGGTTGTGAAGGAACTGGATCACTCATCTATTGCTAGTAGAAATGTAATATGGCACTGCCTCTTTAGGAAGCAGTTTGGCAAGTCTTTTTTTGAAGATTTTATTTATTTATTTGACAGAGAGAGAGCAGGAGAAGCAGCAGAGGGGGAGGGAGAACAGACCCCCTGCTGATGAGGGAGCCCAATGCAGGACTTGATCCCAGGACCCTGGTATCATGACCTGAGCTGAAGGCAGTTGATTAACCAACTGAGCCACCTAGGTGCCCCCTCCAGTCTAATTTTTTAACCTAAAAATGTGTAACTCTGTAGGGAAGCCTCATTAATAAGAATCTTTCAATATCATATCAAATATTGCCGTTGGCTTTTCCTTTTTAAATCTTTTTTTTTTAAATAGTGGATCTAGGAAAATCTTTTTTGCCTTTAATGCTTCTCTGGAATAAAGCATTAAAGATGCATGAAAAGTGGTAGTGATGGCAAGGCATGAATCTAGGACAGAGAAATAGAAGAGAAATGACTGAGATTTTAGGAGAATAATATGTAACAAAATAATTGTAGGAAAGCTTTTATAGGTATTTTAAAAAGATAACAATATGGATACTAAGAGAAGAGAAAATTTTTTAAATTTAAGTATGAGAATAGAATATAATTTAATAAAATCTCATCAGTGAAACATGAAAAAGACAAAACAAAGTATTAGCCTAACAGGGTCAGATTATGACAAAAAATGCCATGAAGGCCAAACATTACACCTTCTCTGCTATTCTGCCTTCTAAGTCTTTATTCCCAGATGCCTTTAGAGAACCTCTGGGTCATACCTTGTTTTTCCTGATGTCCTCTTCTTAAATCACATCCTACCTTATCTACGTTGTATTCATGAGACCCAGATGAAGAATAAGAATAAGCACAGTTTTTTTTTTTTCCCTGAGCATTTTGTACTAAAGTGCTGTGTGGAACCGTAAGAGACAAAATTTAGACATTTTCCATGAAATATCTTGCGGGAATATTCTAGGAAACAGATTACAGGAACAACAGTGATAAGAGATAATCTAATTTTATAACTGAAAATGAGGATTTTTTCCCCTATTCTGATGTCCTATATCAGATAGTTTCTATACAATTCATTTGGTCGATATCATATGCTTCCTGAGAAATGTTATATTTCAGAACTAGCAAGAACTTTTCAAAACATAGTCTCACTTCCTTTAAAGTGGAGCAAGCTGGGTTGAGGTATAGTTAGGTAACATGTCTAATTTCACACCATCCCTGGTTCCCCTTGAAGGCCAGCTCTGATTCATGGGTGGAGACTGCCTGGAACACTCTATTGAGATGAACTATGGAGCCCAGTGAGAAATGGTGCCATGGTCTATGAGCAATACCCTCCATGACCAGCCAAGGCTGAGTGGCAATCCACAAATCCTCGTCTTGGCCAGCCCTGGAGTATGACAGTCACAACATGGGGCTCTCACTCCTTAGAGGCCAAGACTCTGTTGGAGCTCTTCTATCTAACACAGTACCTGATGGAGAATGTCAAAACGCAATTATTACTTGAATGGAGTCTCCATAACTATGCTGTATTTTTTCATAGTACTTAACCACATTCTCACATAGCATAGTATTTACCTACTATGTGTATTTTCTGTATCCTTACACTAGCATGTAAATTTCACAAAAGCAGGAATATCTTCCTTCTTGCTTTCTTCACTGATACAATCATAGTGCTTAGAAAAGTGCTTTGTTCATAGCAAGGATCCAATGCACATTTAGTGCATTAATGCATTAATTAATTTAACTGGTGTTTTTTCCACTACCTTATATAGCGACTCTTATTCAGGAAATCAAACTGGGGGGAGAGGAGAGAAAGTCCCATTCAACCATAAAACAAAATCTGTATCAATTATTTCTTACCTTCCACACAGTTGCACACAGCTCTTGAACAGTGACATCCATTGTCCTCTTTGTACTTTGCTAAACAGGTTTTTGAGTTTTTCAAACGCCCCCATAAGAAGACGGCCATGACCTAAACATGATGCTCCTCCAAATTTTTCTCATGGGAGTACCATTCCACTTTTACCCTAAATACAAAACTTAATGACAGAAATACCATTAATTGACTGTGCCCATCTTCTTGACCACCTTGTTTGTTTCTGTTTAAGAAGAAACCACCCAGGCAGACAAATTCTAATGTTAATCTTCACCAGCTTATTTCAGATCCCAAGTAGAGTGTCATGGTGGACAGGTTAGGAATAGAGGCATCTCGGACAGAAATAGCTTAAGGAAGCCAGAAAGAAGGAAAACTTTAGGGAAGTGTCATCTCCTTTGAGGTATATTCACTGCCTGAGCTGCAAATAAAAGCCTGTAAAGTGAATCTTAAGCCTGCATATAAGTGCATCTCCACTCTTTAATCTCTCCAGGGAAGTTGGTCCTGCTACCTTACAAGATAAATTTCCCAAGTGTTTAATACACTAATTCATTTCCAAATGACTTCTGAATTACCAAACATTGAAAATTTTGAGGCTTGAGCCCTTGGCCTTGGTACTTCAGAGGCACCAACTATAAGGTTTACAACGCTTTGCAGAGTTCTATTTATAAAGGATTTTTATACCAATGTAAGCATTTCTACCCATAAGGCAACGTGTGCTGCTGACCAGAGTGACAGAGTATTGAGAGGTAGAATGAGTGGCGTTTCCCTTCACAATTGCTAACATCAATGATGCACCTCCCCCCACCGCCCGCCCGGCCCATGCCAGCACTGTTACCACTGCTGGCCCTGCAACCAGCAGAGAACTTTGTGATGCTGGGCACCCCTCACTTTAGTTGGATCTGAGCCTGGCTTTTGCCAAAACGTGCCATCTATGCTAACCTCCCGGAAGGTCTTGTTAAAATAAAGACTCTAGCAAACAGCACTCGAGTCTCAAGCTCTTCCTAGCCTTTTGAGGTGTTGAGAATTTGGTCCAGGGGTCCATTGCACCAAAATTGTCTGAGGCCCTTGTGGAACACATTGCCAGGCACAGCTGCAGGAGTACTGAGGCAGTATCTCTGGCGGTGGGGCAGATAAGGAGGAATGTTTCATGTGACCTGTACCAAAATCCTAAGAAATAACTGGAGAAAGAAGAATTTGGCTTAACACTGAGGGACAGGATTCAGATGCTGCCTTTTTTTTGCCCCCCTGTTTCTTTCATCCACACAAACATGAAAAGCCCTGCCACGCTTTCTGACATTTGTCTGATCTCACTTCTGGTACAAAGAACTAATTTCCTCTGTGAGTCTGTTTACACCGATGAGCTGCCCAGAAGTTCCTGTAGAAATATTCTGTAAAAAAGTCGTGTTAAAATTGTCCCGTTTTTGTCACTTAAGAATCCTTTGAGATCTCAAGCTATTTGTAAAGATGTAAATTCAGCGGCTTGTGATACGTTCTCCTCCCTCTTTTTTTGTGTGTATTCATGCTGAAAAATAAATCTCAGTATTTTATACTAATGAATAATTCATATACAGTGAAAAAATGCAGAAAGGAAGGGGTGTGCTGCTATTTCCATAAGAAATAAGCCCCTAAGCTTCTGACTTGGAAGTCTCACAATATCAGCATCTGGATATTTATGCTTGTAACTACAACAGGGAAGATTACCTGCTTGTGTACTAAATCTGTCAAATTCAGAATGAAGTGAGGTCTATGTTTTTCAATTAAATTTGGCTGTTGAACTTAGGATTTGTCTTTGGCTAGGGAAAGAGAGATTTCGGCAGTTAGTAACTGCCACCTGTTTTTGGAAGGTGAAGTCATGGCACTGAAACAGAGGATAAGCTGCCTTTAACCACCTTTTTGAGGCCATTTCAGTCTCGGTTCAACACAGAAAGGAAGACTCTTCTACAGAAGTAAAATAAATATTATCAACAGGTCTGAGAGAAACTGTGAGCCAGACAAAGCAACACCAGGCTGTGGGGTTGTCAGAGGCTCTTTCCAGAAGCTGTTTGTCCCGTGTGGGAAACCATTACCTCCTTGCCAGGCGCCCAGTATGGAGTGCTTCCTTAACTGCCTTAACTGCCTTTGAAAAGAGGGGATGGGAGAGAGAGATGGACGGAGTACCATTTATTCATACCTTTAATCCAATTCCAGTTCAACATTTGGATTTTTTTGTTCCTCCAAAGATCACTTGGATGTACTCAAGTTGAATTATGAAAACGAAGAAAAGAAAAAGCAAAAGGATTTAGTAACCATGCAGCGGGAAGCTAGGATAGGAAGTAAAATTTTGGTTGGGAGACTCTTCCTCCAGGGCATCCTTCGGAGGTTTTTAACTGTATTTGTGCCTTTTGCGTTCAAAGTGTTCAAATCCACAATTAAAAGAATATAGGCTAACTATCCAGGAAGATTGGCCATGGGAACAGAGATGGTTCATGCGAGATGATTCACATGGCAGCGAGTTTCTCGGTGACTCCTTTCCATATGATTTCAGAAGCCAGCATTATGAGGTGGTATAACACAGATTCCCTGTAAACATTCCATTAGAGTTTTAAAAGGCAAATCCTGATGAAAGCTGTTTTTCCTTGGAAAAAGCATGTTTATTCTTTATTAAAATGGGCTGATGGCCTAATGATTTCCGAGCTTGGTATTTCAAGTACAGTTTTCTTGCCCTTTCTCCTGGCAAATGTAACAGTGTTGACAGGCATGGTGGTGTGCACCATCATTGCTGGCAGGCTGGATGCAAGGTTGTCAGAACTCCTGGCCCACCTTTTTCCACTGGCAAGCCTGTACTTTAATCATGCAGATTTAAATACGGAGTAAGCAAGAGAATGAAGATAATTGTCAAGATGGGTGAGCAGTTGCCCCTCCTTTCAGGGGCCCAGTATCTCCATACTTGGCCAGCATGCCTTGCCCAGGGCTGTCAGTCACAAATTCAGAAGAAGTGAACACAAGTTTTCTCTATTGTTTTTTTTTCCACTTCAGTATTATAATTAGTTATGTAACTATTCTATAACAAGGAGCTGGGTATTCTATAGGGCATTGTTAGTTTTATTTGTGTATTTCTTTCCTCAACATCAGGCCAATATGGTTGATTTCACAATAACCATGTTTAAATTTGCATAAGTTAGATGTTATGAGAACACAGTTTTCAACTCACCATCAGGTACCTTCACATTTCCTAGCCTTATGTATTTATGTAACTGCTCAAAGACAAAGATTTTTTTTTAACCAGGGAGATAACTAAAATGATTATAATCATCAACTATAGGTTAATTATGAGTAAAAGATTTCCTCGAAGCATATCAATTATTCTAACAGTGCTTTCACTTGAAGGTGTGAGGTTTTACTTAACAGAATTTTTATTAAGTATGTATAGTAGCACCCTGGTTGTATAGTCTTGAAACACATCACTTCTGTGTGTTTTCTCATCTGTAAAACAAGATTAAGATAGATAATCTCTAATTCACTTTTTTTTTTAAGATTTCATTTATTTATTTGTCAGAGAGAGAGAGAGGCAGGCAGAGGGAGAAGCAGGCTTCCCGCTGAGCAGGGAGCCCGATGGGACTTGCTTCCAGGATCCTGGGATCATGACCTGAGCTGAAGGCAGTAACCAACTGAGCCACCCAGGTGCCCTCTAATTCACTTTCAAATCTCATTCTCTTATTGTATGAATGATTACAAACCAGGATCTCTGTATTTTTTCTCAACAAATATTTACCAACCCTATTTGTGCCTGGCATTTATATAATAAGTGGTGAAGTGTTTACATGTAATATTTAGTCTTGACAACAATTCTGTGAAGTGGGTATTTTACCCCAGTATTATCAAGGAGGAAATTGTCAACATGCCACAGCTCGTAATTGGCCAAAGTGGGACTCAAACCCAAGTGTGTGTGCGTGTGCATGTGTGTGTGCGTGTGCATGTGTGTGTAAAACTTTGAGACCACTTACCGGTATGTATCTTTCTATCGAGTGTATATTATGAGCATAATGGCCTCTTGGACTTTGTGATAGATATAAAGAAATAAAATACAAAG